TTGGGTGATCAGCTCTCTTCTCACTGCCTTGACATCTTATGCTTATTTGACCTCCATGCAGGGGGTTGGGGGAGGGAGGAGGGACACTTGTCTGTTCTGAAGTCCAGCTCCTTGGCAGCAGGACCCAGCATCGGGACCAAACTCTTAGAGAGGCAGCAGGGAGTACTCGAGTGAGTGAAACCAGGAGTAAGGAAAGTTGCCATGCATTCGCTGGCTGTGTTGGCTTGAGCAAGTCACTTACCCTCTTTGGGCTGCCATTTCCTCCTTTAAAAGGGAAGAAGTAGCCTTTAGCCATTTGGCTCTACTCTACTGTGATTCTTTATAGCCTGTGCAGGGTGAGGTTTAGGGGCTAGAATCAGAACCCGTTTTCCTCCCTGTAGAAGACAAAACGGAAGCTGGACGAGGCAGCCCAACGCCTAGAATGTCTCTATGAGAAGCTCTGTGAGGGGACAGTAAGTACACTCAGTGGTGCCTCTGCCTCCTGCCCTTCCACCATCCCCCGTGGCCAAAGGGAGCTCAGGTGTCCTCTGTCCTCTCCCCTTAGGTCTCACTGACCTGGGTCTCATCCTTTCCCTGCCACAGGGCAGGGGCTGGTGTGGGCTCACTAACTGAAAGGCCAATCCCTCCACAGCTCTCGCCTCCAGTCCTGGCTGGGCTCCACGAGATTGCCCGATGTGTGGACACAGGAAGCTTTGAGCACGGCCTTGCAGTGCATGCCCAGGTGGTGGGCTGCAGCCGCTTCAGCGAGGTCTCCAGCTTCATGCCCATCCTGAAGGCTGTCCTCACCATTGCTCATAAGCTGCACGTCTAAGCCAGACAGCCTCTCTTACCAGGAGGGCACTGCTGCTGTGACTTCACTGTTCTCCCTGTGAAGAAGGCAGTTTCAGAATAGATTGTGTTTCCCAGCCTTCATTCTTGTTGCCAGGTATATGATGCTGTAGGCTTGGCTCCAAACTGGCAGAGTGCCTGCTTTCTATCCTGTGTGCCTGGCCCTCGATCTGTCCAAGGCTCGCTCGGCCTCTGAGGCAGAGCACAGGGCCAGTTCTGTACTTCACCTGATACTGTTCTCTGGCCCAGGACCTGGGGCACCGTGGGCAGGTGTCTTCTCCCCAGGGAGAGTCTGTTTAAGTGGCTTCTAAGAGGATGAGGAGGATCCAAGTCTACCTCAGCTGGACCCATTTTTGGGTCTTTTGTTTTTCTCCTTCTGTGGGCCATGGGCCTAATCTTACCTTCTCCTGGCCTCTGACTCCATATTTCCAGTTCTGTATTTCTCTGAGTCCCACTGGCTGGAGTAGAGTTGGCTGTTCATCCTCTGAACAAGTCACAGACATGAGTGCTGGGTGCTGAGCAGAACCAAGAGAAGGAACGTTGGTCCTTTTCTAAAGGAACGCCTGCCAGCACTATTCAGGGTGGGTGAGGTTGGGTGGGAGGGGTGCACTGCCTTTTGCTGGGAGCTATCTTGGCCTTGAGATAGAAGCACAGGGACCACTGCCTATGGGAAATGGCCCCTCGTTGATCTGTGTGAACCCTGGTCCAAGGAGGGCTAGACCATTCATCCTGTGAGTATGAGCCCAGCTCTGGGACAGGAGCCATAGTAACAAAAGCCTCTCTTTTTAGCACTGCTCCTCCAGGGCGGGAGGCCCTCTCTCCCTCAGCCTCCACATGTCTCAGGGCTGCCTTCTCTGGCTGCACTCCCATGGTTGGATGCTGCATTGGAAGCACTGATGTACCTAACGTGCAATAAAGCTGCTTTGATTTGGTTTCCTCAGTCATCTCCCAATAATTGTCTCCTGGGTCCTATTTTGCTCTTACCTCTCTTCATAATCCTCTGTTCCTGCACCTCAATAAATCAGGGGAGAGGCTTTGGGTCAGCTGGGGAATCAAGAGAGTTGAAGAAAGGAGGGTATCACCGAAATATTCTCTCCTTGCAGCATTTGTGGCCATTCTGCTGTGTGTGTGTATGCGCGCATGTGTGTATCTCCATCCGTGCCTGACGGTCAGCTCCAGGGTTTTCCCCACACCACTTCAGCGCTGAGCTCAGCCGCACAAAGGGACTGGGTGTGAAGCCAGGGGGTACCATCTCTAATCCTGTTGTAGATCCCATCATGTCTGCGGGCTAGATGTGTGTGTTTGGGAGGAAGGGATTGTTAGGCAGTATTTGTTTGTAAAGCCACTTGCTCTTCAGATAATACTTGCACTAACTTCTATTGATGAAGCAGTGTGAGCCCCGGCAAAGTTCTTTCCCAGTGTCTTTGAAGCCAAGAGCCCATTGAAAGGAAGAAAAGCCGGGCGAGGGGATTAGTTTGTTCAGCAGCTGTGAGTTTCAGTGGGAGGTTGATGAACTCCGAGGTCTTTGTTTAAATTAAAGGGGTGGGGGGAGCCACCATTGGAGCGAGAGCCCCACTTGGGGCCCTGAACTAACACAAGGAGTCTGAGCTGCAGGGAGCTGTGTACTGACTGCGAAGACTTTTCCCAAACACTTTCGGAAGAGGTGTGGTGAGAAGAGAAGGGGGCGGAGTGGGGGATTAGCATGTGAAATGAAGTTTTCATTGACTCCAGTGGGGGTAGAAGGCTATTTTAATGGCATTTTGTTCTCTTATTTTCTCTCCTTGAGCTCTTTAGAGGCATTGTTTTGCTAAGGCAGGCTTTCTTCCCCCTTCTTTCCAGTCTGCGGATTGCCTCTATGGGAGCCAACATAAATATTTCTCCTCCAGGAATGCGGGTTAATTAAAAGGAAATGAATGAGTGGAAGCATCCAATCCAGACCCACAATAGGCGAGTGCCCTGTCCTGCCCTCCCCTCCCACCACCACCAGCACCACCAGCGCTGAGCGTGACCCTGTCTCTGTCTCTGCCCTAACCTGCTGCTAAGGCCAATTGAGGCTCAGATTCTTTTCAAGAAAAGAAAGCCCTGCCTGTGTGTAGGCTTTGGGGCTAGGGACAGGAAGGAGACAGTGTTTTACACCACCTCCACCCCCCACCCCCAGAGTCCTTGTCACTTCTCAGGACCTCCCTCTGTTTCTGTCCCAAAGAGCACACAAGAGAGAAGGGGCCTGGGTTTCACTACCCACCCCACGGTCACTTACTAGCTGGTGGAACCAGCCAGACATCGTTCTCAGCATCATTGAAATCTATAAAACAAAAGGTTTGACTGGCCGACCGACGGGAAGTGTTTTCCCAGGCAGCCATTCTGGAGTTGCCTACATTTGTAAGGGCAACACAGCCCTGGTGATTGAGTCTGAGAATCTAAACTCCATGAGTGCAGGAGGGCAGTGTCGTGTTTACCACTCTGTTTCCACTCTGGTGTTTGTTGAATGAATGAATGGATAATGCAAGAAGTGTATGGGGGAGCTGTGGGGTGGGGGGTAGGGGGAAGAGAAGCAATACAAATGTAAGGTAACTCAGCAATGTTTTCTTTATAGAACTTAAATGTATCTGGTATCAAATATATCCATTTGGGAATACAAAACAACCTGTGAAAGAACTTTCTGGCAGTATGACATGTTTTGAGTATTGACCTGAAGTTATCAAACATGAAGTACAAAACTTCTCTTTTATGCTGAGAGACTCCCCTGGAGAATGCAGCTTTCCTTTACCACACCGTGCTTCTTTGTATCTTCTAGTCGCCTTGCCAGGTTTCTTACTGTACACTATCAAATAACTCCGCCAAGTGGGGTAGCCAGGTCGGTATCTGCTGCTGCTTGATGAAGGAAGAAGGGCAAGTTGGGAGACTTAAGAGATCCAGATCACAGCAGAGGGAAGAAGCAAAGGCGTTTTGCTGATGCAGCTGGGAATGAAGCACTAAGGGAGCCCTGAAGGGAAGTGTGTCCCCTGGAAGGAAGGAAGGAAGGAAGGAAGGAAGGAAGGAAGGAAGGAAGGAAGGAAGGAAGGAAGGGAGCGAGGGAGGGAGGGAGGGAGGGAGGGCCTTTCTTCTCATAAGTGTAGGTAGGACCAGAAGAGGTATAGGAATGAGGCCAGGGCCTTGGGGTCTGATCTGGCCAGTCTCACTAAGGGAGCCCTGAAGGGAAGTGTGTCCCCTGGAAGGAAGGAAGGAAGGAAGGAAGGAAGGAAGGAAGGAAAGGAGGGAGGGAGGGAGGGAGGGAGGGAAGGAGGGAGGGAGGAAGGAAGGAAGGAAGGAAGGAAGGAAGGAAGGAAGGAAGGAAGGAAGGGAGGAAGGAAGGGAGAGCCTCTCTTCTCATAAGTGTAGGTAGGACCAGAAGAGGTATAGGAATGAGGCCAGGGCCTTGGGGTGTGATCTGGCCAGTCGCAGTTTGGAATATGGGAGCCCTCACACTCACCGGTTGGCCCCTAGCCTTGGCCCTGTTACCTACTTGGGGCCACATCGTCTCTCTGCTCTCGCCCGCTCTGGGTTGTCTAGCATCTGATCAGTTCTCCTGAAGAGCAGCCCCTGGCAGGCCTAAAGGAAGAGAGTTGGCCGGGAAGCTCCTGGGCTGCAGAGTGTCTGTCGGGGATTGGCTCTTCCCGTCCCATCGCCCTCTTTCCTAAGCAAGTCCCTGCTGGACTGCTTCTGGGACAAGAACCAGGACACTCAAGCACCCACAGTAGCAAGCTCTCACTCCTAAGTGAACGTATTCGTTGGAGATTTATGTGGCTGATTGACTAATCCCTGCAGATTAGCCTCGGTCAGGCCAGAATGACTATTTAGGCCCTGAGGAAAGTGAGGCTCCACAGAGGATGGTATTCTGGCAAGGTGGGACGAAGGGGAGGGCCCACCACCTTCGTCTATATCCCCAAGAATAAGTTCAGTCCCTGGAAAGGAGGGCAATATCACAGCGACTGCAATACATAAAAAAATCCAAGACACTGAACTTCCTATTAGTACTAATTTCATTGCAGAAAGTTTACTTATTAAAGGAAAGTATTCAAGGCCTTGAATCCTGCCTGTTTGAGAACCAGGTTAGTGAAAAGGAAGGGTCCCAGCTCCTCCTCTCTCATACCTGCCCTCAGGGGTGCACACCTTAATGGGGAACTGCTGTTACTGAGCTCAGAATTGGCTCAGAGGAACAAGGGTCCTGTGGGGAAGGAGAAGAGGTAGAGATGGTTGCTAGGGGGCAGTGGGTTAGGGGCAGGGAGGGTACTTTAAAGGGTAGGAAATGACCGGCCATCTGGCCTTACAGAGTTCCTAGACATTGTGGGAATGTGTCTGGAGCGCCGTGGCGATTTCAGGAAGGTCACTGTCCCCCGGTAAGCCCATTAGACACGGTGTCACAGGGTGAGAAGGCAGCACTCTAGGTTACCCCGCTCCCCATCTTCAACCCTTGCCTCAAGAACTAGTCCTCTCACACGTGCTTTTTTCCTGGGTCAGTTTCCGCACAGTTTCTCTTTAGGGACAAAGGATAGGGAGAAGCCGAGAGAAAGCATTAGAGATTCCCGGGGAGTGGCTCTGCAGGCGGAAAATGCAGCCGTAATAGAGACCTGGCAGCGAAAATGGGGGAAGGGGGGGGTTTGAGCAAAATGGACAAAAGAGAGAAGCCATGGTTCCCCCCACCCCACCCCTGTTGGCCCTGTGTATTTGAGCAGGGGTCTTCCTGTTACCAAGGCTCCATAGGCTGGGTCCAACGTTAGGGCAACTAGGAAGGGGAGGAGGACCACCTATTCTCATCCTCGTCCAAAGAAGATCAATACCTCAAACCTCAGCTCCCGGAGAGCGCCCCGGGCCTGGGGGAACAGGTTGGAAAGTGACATCTCCGGAGACTGCAGCGTCTCTCTCGGGATCCCTGGGCTTGCGAGTGAAGGATCCGCATCTCTAGGTTCCTCTATTACTGGGGTCTCTAAAAGAAGCCGAGGACAGATGGGGAAAGGAGCGGGAGGGGGGACCCTTAGGGTTTTCTCGCGGGTTTGTGCGCAGCGCCCCCCCGCGGCCGCTCGGCGCGGCTGCAGAAGTACTTGGTGACGCGCCGGCGGCACTGCTCGCAGCGCACGGCGCAGCACCAGTGGAACTTGCAGTTGCAGCTGGACACGGTCTCGGCGCGCCGCTCCTCCACCGCCAGCCCGCAGTCCCCGCAGAGCCGGCGGCAGCTGCGGCGCTCCCAGCGGCCGAGGGCCCGCCCGCGCCGCAGGCACTCGCGGCCCTCGGTGCCCAGCAGGCCCAGCGTCTTGTTCTCCAGGCAGTAGTCTGGGGAGTCCTCCAGGTGCACCAGCTCCCGCGTGGAGATGGAGCGAAAGGTGTCGGCGATGGCGCCGCGTCCCGCCGCGCTGTTGCCGGCCCCTTGCAGCAGGTCCACCTTGAGGGCCGCGTGGTACTTCTCCTTCAGGTGCGCGCCCACCTCGCGGAACTCCGGCAGCTGCAGCCAGCAGGTCTGCGTGGTGCAGCTGCCGGACACGCCGTGGCACTTACACGTGCGCTTCATGGTGCCCTTCACCGCCTGGGGGAGAGGGGGGAGCGGGCCCAGGATTTAGCGCGTGGGGAGTCTCTGCCGGGGGCGGGGTGGGGGGGGGGTTGAGAGGCGTCTAGTACCTCCTACGCCTCAGAACCTCGTTTTTCCAAACTTAAATAAAGTGAAGAGTTATCCTCACTTAGGGGTGGTAATGGTTGGAGCCAGCTGCCAACCCCAGGGGCTGCAAGACTCACCTTGCGGCCGGCCTCGTTGTTGTGCAAGTTCATGGCTGCCCGGGCATCCTGTCCTGTCTCCAGGGCATCCACGAACTGCTTGGATATTGCCTCTCCGAAGCCCACGTTGTCACTGCAGCCTCCCCACAGCCAGCCTTGACCTCCTGGAAAAGAGCAGGGGAGAGGGAAGATCGTTGAGCAGCTATTTCTCATTGGGAATCTGAGATGGAGATTAAGGTTGGGTGAGAGTGCCTTGTCTCCAGATTAGTTTCAGCCTAGACTTGTTTTTGCCGCTTTTTGAGCGCCCACGTTCAGCCTATCATCTGCTCAGGACTCCATGACGTAAGTAGTTGCCGAGTGGATTCTCTGCAAAGTGCCTGCGCGCCCATCTTCACACAGTTTCTGGCCTTTTGGGCAGAGTGTGCATGTGCCCGCCACTTCCAGAAAGGGCAAAATGGCTGTTAGAAAGGTGAGGAACGCGCAAGCATTGAGAGGGAGAGAGGAGCAATTGAAATAATACGGAACAACTAAGTTGGAAGTTGAGCCGCAGGGCAGGGAGGGTTGGGACAGTGGAGGAAGAGTGGAAAGGAGACGGAGACAGAATGGAAGGATGTCCCCACTATGTTTGAGAGAGTGACCGATTGACTGCCCGGGGGATGTTGTTCCTTTATCATTGTTTGTTAAATTAAGGAAACTTAGTAGAAGACGGAGAGTCCATGAGGCATTTAACCTGGTTTAACATATTAGGGTTTGGGCTTAAACTGGTTCACCCTGATTTTCCTCAGAGTTAGAAGAATACAATTCCTCTTCACCCCACCCAGCTACCTACCAAGCTTTTCATTCTTTAAGTGGACCCTACTGGCCTGCCCTACCCACCCCAATGTCAGTACTCACCCAGCTGCCCATTGCGGGAGTCGTCACAGCCACAGTTGTCAAAATCCCCCAGGCTGCAGTTTCGAGTCAGAGTGTACATGACGCCAGCAGAACTGATGGCATGAACGAATGCTGTCTCCCGGTTGGCTGGCAGGAACCAGAAATTGGGTGAGTTAGAGGGAGGAGTCGCAATCCAAAGAAATGCCAGCCATGCCACCTCCCTTTAATACAATCATCGTCCTCCTGTCCCAGCTCTACCCTAGTTCCCCACCTTTGTAATGTTCCTTCCTCTCTCCAGGGCCTACTCCAGCCCTAGTCTCAGCCCTTCCCTTCTCCCCTCCCATCTTTTCCAGGCATACACTTTGTGATTAGGTGGCCAGATTTTTGTTGACATCCGTGGTTGTAAAGGATTTCGGTGGGCCAGAGCCTGAGGAAGAGATGAATCTGAAGGCCAGGCTATCAAGAACCCACTCCACTTCCTCCTGGAACATTGAAGTCTAAGAGGCGGGCGCCACCTAGTTCTGAAAGAACCTCTGCCTGCCAGCTCTTTTATTTACTGGCATGGCTACTCTCTCTTCTCCAGGGAAACCTGGTCCCCAAGTCTGTTCCCACTTGTCCTGTACCTCTCTGTCTGCGGAGCCCGCTGCAGGAAGGGGCCGAGGGGAATGAGGGATTATGACCCTACCTTCCTCCTGATGTTATTTATATTGTGAGGGAGCCATTAGCCAATTGACAAGGTCCGTTTGGTGAACAGTGAGCGTTTGGGGGAAGGAAGAGAAAAGCTCTTAGGCAGGAAAAAGGAGCTGGAGGTGGAACAGAGAAGATCCCAGGGAGGGAGATGACCTACGGGTAAAGAGCAGGTGAGGAATTGGGGTATAGAGGAGGCGGGGGCATATCCGGAGAGTGGGGTTCTAACCTGCGGCCAGGGGGTCACGGGAGCCGCTGCCGGCCGAGGCTTTCCTTACCACTGCGCAGGCCGCCATGGCTGGACAGCTGCAGGGCTCTCTCCGGACAGTTCCAGCGGTCCCAGGCAAACTGGTATTTGCATTCTTCGATACCGCTCTGGGCACCAGCTGCCACGCTGCTGGAGTAGATCAAGTAAGCCTTCGGGGACACAGGGTCAGAATTCAGACTTACAGAAGCTGGACTTGGAGACACTTGCCCTAAAACGGCCAAGCCCCTCTCTTCCCGCCCACTCTCCCATCCCTCCAAAATAATGGCAGAGTGAGCATTTTAAATGTGCTGTCCCATTTAACATCACCAATAACCTTGTCAAATAGGGACCATTTTCTAGATTAGGAATCTGAGGCCCAGAGAGGTGAAGTAAAGCAGTTTGCCCAACAGCTAGCAAGTTTCAGAAGTAGGAATAAAATTCATTTTACAGACACTAGCCCTGACTTTATTCACTGTACTATTCTGCCTCTCCAGAAGGATCCCAAATCACACAATTCACGAATTTTCGCTTGTTCTCATCCCATCTTATAAAACAATATTTTGGAACTGGAAATGTCCTTAGAGATACTGCAGTATAACAGAAACATTGTACAAACTGCATTCTCCACTGCCTGAGAAGGTTGAGAAGGTTGTGTGGCTGCAGCCTGACATTGTGAAGGGCTGTCGGCTTTTCTGGCTTTAGAAATTCTGCTGTACATTTAGAATCCATACTCGTGAGTCTTGCCTTGCCTCTGACACTAGATGCTATGCGGTTTGGGTTGTCACTAATCCCCTTTGTGGCAACGGCACACTAAAAAGTGTGGATATAATGAAAAGAAATTACGTGTATAGTCTTCAGTTAAGGAGCTAGGATTAGTGACATAATCCTAGCTATTCCTAGATAAATTCCTAATAAATCAAAGGAATATTCCTAAACAAATCAAAGGAATATTTTTCTTACCTTTGGACCAGTCATCAGAAAATTGTTCACTGACCTGGAAGAGAACAAGACCACAGAGTGTAATGGAGATGCACCAACTCATTGCTGCTGCCAAGAGCTGTAAGGATCACTTTAGGAAATATGTCTGATGGGAAGAAAGGGAAAATGGCTTGCGAAGGAAAGATTATGCATCAGGAGTCTACTAAAGACAACTTATTTAGTAAAAAAAACAACATGTATTATGCTTCTTTCCAAATACCAAAAGTGCTGGGAGTAACGTTTGATCATTATTTTGCCATGAGCAGGAATAGAGCTAGCATTAACTCATTACTGTGTAACAGATGCTCTACTCTCAGTATTTTACATGTTGATTTTGTTAAGTCCTTACTATTGTAGGCATTATTACCCCAATTTTACAACTTGGGAATCTGGGACTCAAAAAAGTACTCAAGGTCACCCAGATAATAAATGACTAAGTCAGGATTTGAATCCAGGACCATCGGGATCCCGAGGAGGATAGTTCTCTCATCAGAAAGATGTAAATAGTGGGATATCTTTCTAGGGATTGAACTTATAATTAAAGTCCAAAAATAAATAATCTGGTTCTAGAAAATAGCTAGGCTGTTCCTTTCAAAACTAAAAATAGACTTGTCATATGACTTAGCAGTTCCACTCTTAGGCATTTATCCTTGAGAAATGAGGACTTATTTTTACTCTGGATCTTATGCTTGGGTGCTCATAGCACTTTATTCATAATAACCCAAACTAGGAAGGTGTTTAAATGTTTTTCAAATAGTGAGTGGTTATAATAACTGTGGTACAAGGCCTGGCTGTGTGGCTCAGTTGGTTGGTGCTCAGAGCATCATCCATGCACCAAAAGGTGGTTGATTTGATTCTCCAGTCAGGGCACATGCCCAGATTGTGAGCTCCATCCATAGTAGGGGACATGCAGGAGGCAGTATGTATCCTGTTGAGATTGGCTTTGATCAGTCAGTATAATTTCCTTGAGAGTCATTCAAGTTGTCGAATGTATCAGTTGTTTATTCCTTTTCATTCCTGAGTAGTAATCCATTGTATGGATATACCACCGTGATTTTAATACTTTTATTGATTTTCTTTTAGAGAGAGGAGGGGAGAGAGGGGGGAGGTGAACATTAATGAGATAAACGAAACATTGATCAGCTGCCTCCTAGTTTGCCAGGTGTGCCTGGGTATGTTTAAATACCAGTGGTTGGTGTAGCTTAAATTCCAGTTAGGATTCCCTTTTTCTCTTCCATGCACATATTTTTTTAAAAGCAAAGATTCTGCATATGAATATCCAGAATTTGGTATTTTCCTCTCAACACCCAGGACTTTCATCCAGTGCCTGCTGACCCCCTCCCCCCACTTTGTCCTCCCTCTCTCCACTTTCCTCACAAGTCTTTGAATAATAGGTTTGGCTTTTCTCTACCCTTTAATCTCATTTCTTGAGGTCCATAAAAAGTCTTGGGGTCATGAAGCTCTAGTTGGCCTACTTCAGGAGAGACCGTGTAATTATAATTTGGGGTGATGGCCCAGAGGAAAGGAGAAGTGGTAGTGAATGAAAGTAGATGGACATTTCCCTCTCTCTCTCTCTCTCTCTCTCTCTCTCTCTCTCTCTCTCTCTCTCTCTCTCTCTCTCTCTCTCTCTTTCTCTCTCGATGTAGCAGAGAGAGAGACAGGGAGAAGAGGGGGGGAGTAGGGAGAAGAGAGATTAAGGAGAGCGACCAGAGTAGGGAGCTGCCTGAAGCTGTAGCCAGAAGGTGTTCCAGTGGAGCAAGTTTTTCTTAGAATGAATGTCTGACAGCCAGCTTTTTAGCTCATTGAACGCACAAGATGCCTTGGGCCTGGGACAGCCCAAACATAGCTTTCTGAGCAAGCTTCCTTGTGATTCCCTCTATCTGCTATAGCATATGACCTACAGAACACACATGCACACACACAAATACACACACACACACACACACACACACCAATATGTACACACACACCAAATCACAGAGAAGGCAGGCATTACTAAGTAAGCGTTGTGAAATAATATCCTATGGCAATACTCAAGGATATTTAAGCTAGTTATAATTCACCGTATAATTAGAGTTAAGTTTAAAAATGTTTTTCAAGGGTGAACAACAGCGTGACTAATTCTTCTCCGTTGTAAAGTATAAGTAATTGAAATCGGGCGCTTTCCTATTTAGCTAGGGGAAGGATTAGGAAGTAGAAGCCACAAGATAATCTGAAGTCTTGTAGGGAAGAGAAGGGTTCGGAATTTCAAAGACAAATTTCTTCCTACTTAAAAATTTGTCCAGAGGGAACAAAGGTAATATTATAGGGAAGCTCTATTTCAGTAGAGCAACAGAACAGAAGCCAGATTACAATGCCCAAACAGTTATGAACCTAAAAGCAACTAATACAGACTCATTGAAGGAGTATGGATGGCATTGAAAGGAAAGAGAAATGCAGTGGAGATTCAGGCCAAGTAGAAGTATTTTTCCAGAAGAGTATAAAAGGAAAATGAAGAAATATACAGGTTTAGGTCATACCCCCATAGCTATTTCACTTATTTAAACTCCATCTGTTTCTTCAAAGGGAATTCAGCCCTATAAATAATTCTCAACATTTGTTTTATAAGTGTGAATTTTCTAAGTTACAAGGCAGTGCCCTCAAACTTATTTTTTAAAAGTCCTATAAACTAGTTAAGAAAAGTTAAACAGATGTGTCAGATTTGGTAGTTGTCTTATGTTAAATTTTATTTTCACATCCTACATTATCTCAAATCCAGTCCTTGACAAATAATTACTGGCAAAGACCACATAATAGCCCTCAGGACAACTGTGTTCCATGGGTTCCTGCCAAAGAACCTCAGGCAGATTCTTTCTCAGGCAAATCACAAATTTTCAAGGAGTAATCTTATTCCCTGAAAGGCAAATGCTATTTGTATTCCGGGATATTTTATAGGGAGATAGGCTGTCTTCCCTTGTCCTCATTTCCTTCCTCCTTTATGTATTGTAGCAACCTCTGCTGAGAAACACTGAGCAACAAAAAAGCACTTCAGTGTTTAGCATTTAAATGAGGACTCGAACTGGGAATAAGCTGTGCTCATTCTCTGTCCCGAGGTCTCTCAGTGAAAGCTGCTAAGGAACAGCTCAGAGCCACGGTTCCCAGAAAGCCTGGGATTGCAGGAACCCTGTCCAGGACCATTATGGAGGCAGAGCCTCTGGTTTTGTTTTCTGACCTTGTTACCTCGGTCCCTGTAGTGGAGACTTGAGAAAATATTCACGTTCTCAATTGCACTGGTGGATGCAATGCCAGTTTATGTCAGGAACAAGAAGGTAGGTATGCGTGACTTGCCCTAGAAAATGGCCAGGGAACAGTTCAAGGTAGGAAAACTGGCAGGCTTTGGCATTTTGGTAGCATTTTCACTACTTAATGGAACTAAATCCATGGATGGTGAAAATGTCCTCACCTCAATCTGAGTAGCCACAGCTCCAAGAAAAACAAACTCAGATTCTCCTGTTACTAACTTGTGTTCTTGATTTTTCACCCCAGTGGGGGTCATATCTGTATGATGTTCCCCAAGGTCTCTAATTACTGGCGCTAGATCTCTTGAACATGGGATAGGGGGTTCCTTTTCCTGTCCCTCTTCTTATTGTTTTGAGCCACAACAGTATTTGGAAGATTTACACTAAGAAGTTGAAAACGCTACAGAAAGTATACATGAAGCAAAGTTAGCCAAGGGTTGATAACTGTTGAAGCTGAGTTATTGGGGATTGTTAGAGGTACTGTTCTAAGTTTGTTTGTTTTTTTAAAGAAAATTTCAATAATATAAATGAAACAACAGAATACTCCTGAAGCAATAATCTATGCAATATGAGCTCCACCAGACACCTTGGATTAATATGAAGAAATGCCAGACAATATAATATGGCCCATCTATTGGTTTACTATTTATTATCCTGGATATTGGTCTGGAATGGAAACTTGAGAGTTTGATATGGTGAACCTGAAGAGCCTGAGTAAATGAAAAGGAGAGTAGCAAAAGAGAGTTACAGTTTTTAATTAAAATATTTATTTAAAAATATAACTGCTATCTCTACCTAGTTGCATATATGGGAGAATTACAGTCTTGAATGAAGGAGAATTCATCCTTATTCAGGATGGTTTAAGGTTGGCCTGGAAAACACAAGAATTTAATCTATGGAGCTGCATAAAAATACTGAACTATTGGCCTACTTACAGGGTCTCCTGAGACTACTGATGCACAGCCTCAGTCTGTGCTGCTGCCGGGGCATGCTGACGTTGGGAAAACAACCCATTAAGAAAAGTGAATTTGGACTGGAAAATAACAGTGAATTTAAATAATCCCATATGGTCTGATTTCTCTTGGTCTGGAGAAAACTCTGACCTAAGAAGGATAATAGAGAGATGATATGATCAATAACAAGGACCTACAATAAAGATTGAGAAAAGCAAACCATACAAATTTGGCTTATAATGAGACAAGAGAGTCTGTCCAGAGTGGATGGTAGTTCGTTGTTTTTTTAAGAGACCCTCAGAGTGTAGGTACATTTCAGATGGGAGGCAAGGGGGTTTGGGGGGACTGTTATTTCCAGAACCAAGCTCAGAGTTTTCCCCCAACTGTTAACCCAGTCTGATCTTTTACCCGGGAAGAACAATTTGCTTTCTGGGGAAATAAAAGAGAGTTTACCCTAAATAAAATTGTACTGACCTCTCTTTCTAAGCCCTCTGAGTTCTCCTCTCCCTCTAATAGAAATAGAAAGGATAAATGGAGCCCAGGAAAGGGGATTTTATTAACAGTTCCAAGAGAGACTAGCATTACCCAATACAGTGCAGCACTAACCAACTGTCCCAGCTGGTAAAAGTGGGGGGAAGGAGAGGAGTGGGGAGTAAACTCCTTCATGGAAGAGAGAGGGTTGGTTTGGAATTCCTTTTCTTCTGATTATGTATATTCCATTTACCTCTATATAATGTCACAAAAAGGAGATCCTTCTTTGTATCATATTATCACACACACACACACACACACACACACACAGATAATAATAATAAATAAAGATGCACTGTAGAGCATCCTCCTCATCACTTATGCAAACTGGTTTCATAAGAAACGCTTTAACAAAGTGTCTCTTCTCAGGACCACATAGCCTTTATAAAGAGTAATAATAACAATTATAATAGTTTGTTATTATTATTATTTATAGCAGGAGAAATAGAAACTCGGAAAGGAAAAACTCAGGTCTCAAGCTGCTGAGGAAATCAATGACAAAACTGGGGACTGAGCTTCCCTGATCATGTCTCAGAACCTCCTACACCACAGCTACCAGCCTAACCCTGCTCAGAATTACCCCCACGACCCCCACCTTTTGTAGTGGACTATGAACTTCTCTTTATTGATTGGGAAAGCTATTCGGCATGTGAATCTTCTATTGGCATATTATTTTCCATATTCCAAAGCAGTTTCTCACACCTGACTGTATTCCCCTAACTTTCCTTTCTAGTGTGACAAAGCTTAGTGGGTCCTCACTTGATTGTCCGTGTTCTTTTTGTATCTGTTAGAGGGGAAATTTGACAAAAATGTAATAGGACAACACATTACCATGAATTCAATGATTTTAAATGAGCTGTGTATTTTACTGGTCATAATATATATTTGAAAAAGTGTTGCACATAAAATGCAGATAATAGCTAATGATGATGCTTCATGAAAATATGGATTCAAAGATACCCCCACCACCACCACCACCACCACACTTAATAACTGAAGACTTTGCTAATCAGGAGTTTTGCATGTTGTCATCAGTTAAAATTTCAAGAGCCATAGACAGGTTACTCTAAAAACATAAATGTAGAGAAACAAGGGATGATGTATTTCAAAAAGTGCTTTAAAACACAAGATTTCAGAGAATCTTGCTCTTCTGCAGAAAAGAAACTGATTAAATCCTCTGGAAAAAGCTAAGGGTAGTGATCTCTGTTGAAAAATTTGACCAGAGACATAGTTAACCTCTGTGTCCCAGTGCATCTTTCTGATTTGGTTATTGCGTTGAGAGGGGAGAGAGAGAGAGAGAGAGAGAGAGAGAGAGAGAGAGAGAGAGAGAGAGAGAGAGAGAGAGAGAGAGAGAGAGAGAGAATGAGAGAGATTATGAACTGGAAAGACCCAGTATCATTATGAGACATCATTTGGAGTCAAGTTAAGGAAAAACATGTTCTAGGTTGATTTATTCCAATGAGTAAATGTATTGGAAGTGGACAGTAACATTAATTCATCTCTGGCCACCATTATAAGCATCACAATTTGCTTAGCTGTATTATGCTTTCCCTTACTAATTTCTTTTTTTATTTCCTTGTTTCTTTAATTCTTTCATATTTTTTTAGCCATTAATAATTAAGAAAAAACAAATTAAAAACTATTTTTTCTTAACTCACTAAAGGATAATTCTTTCCAAAAGGTCCAGACAAGAGAAAACTATGGAGAATGCTCTTTCCCCCAATTATGTCGCACTGAGACACCTAGTAAAACTGCACATTGTAGGCACATGTCATTTTTATTCTTTCCCTTTCAAGCCTAGGAATTTCTGTTGATCAACTCTTTTAGGCAGTAATTTCAGGCCAGCCTACAATTGAACAGCCAAGCAGAAATTGTGATTCTCTATTTGTTAAATGCTTTTGAGGTCCCCACATAAAAGGTTGATAATGAAGTACTAAGAGAAACATCTGAAAGGCTGCGGTTGGTCAAATTTCTCTGCATGGCACAAAGGGAAAGATGACCTTATACAAAACCCTGATAGTCCCATTATAAGAATAATCGAGGTTGGATGTTAAATTTAAAAAAATCACATTTCAAATGCTACCAAAACCAGACTCAGCAAAGTATAAATATTCAAAATGAGGCTTCTGGGATGCAATTAAAAAAGTGACTTGCATTATCAAGATTTGTATATTTTCTCCTCAAAGTCAAGGAAAGTGAGAAGAGGTTCTTAAACCCTGTTTTTAAATAAGAATTTTCTTTCACATCTCTTTTTTTCTTCTTTCTTTTTGAATCCAGACACTTGAATTTGGACAGACGAGCAACCCAGCCACCTTTCAGTGTGGCAGTGTCAATATCGGAATGAAGTGAACATGACCCCCTCCAGCTGGGAAGGAACACACAGTAAAGGTATTTCTTATAGAACAATTCTTCACCCTGCCCTGGTGACTGGGGGAAGGAATCTCGTGTTTCTCTTTTGCTGATACTGAATCAGCTGAAGAATACCATGAACATCAGTAGAAATCCTCTGAACTAGTCTCCTCTCCCTTTTGTCTTTTTGTTTTCATGACAGGGAGAGAAGGAAGATTTTTTTTTTTTGGACATGAAATATTTAATTAAAATACCAATTAAAAATGGACCAATTACTTGGCGGTTCAGTTTATAATCAGAAATGTTGCAAATTATTGCATTAACCGGCAAATTGTATTACTTTGGCGTACTTGTTATCAGCTCTTTAATAGTGATGGCTATACTCATTTATGATAAGAATACACTCTCAATTAGCACGGGAAGCTGATTTCAGCAAAGAAACCCCCGTTCTTGCTTCCTCGACAGTTTATGTAGCAATTGGATGTGTAACTTAGTTAAATAGATGGTCGAAATGAGAACTGATGGAGAGAGACTGAGCTCACATCTTAATTGAGGAGGAACTCCAAACACCCTAGCAACATGCATTTCCTAGATCTTACAGTCTGCATGTTATTTTGTGCTTGCTTATTAACTTTTCCACGTATAGATATGTGACATATTTTCCAAGAGCTAAATGCAAATGATGATCATATCATCTATCATTTGTGCGGTGGTTTATAGTTTACAAAACGCTGTCACACACATGCTGTCTTATTTTCTGAGCAAGTTAGAAATATTTGTAAATGGGATCAATTAAACAAACTTGTAGAAAAGTTTAGATTCCTAAAATATTTAATGTCAAACATGTTGGTTAACCCAGTACCAACTCGGTAGTTAATTTTTATCTCTAGGAAGTGATGAGCTATTACTTAGAATATTCCGAAAACATTCAAGTCAGACAGTGCAAAATAAGATCTCATTGAATTTCTGTCTTCACCTCAAAGATCCGATTCTGCATACAGTAGACCTTGCTTTGAACCACTTTCCTCTTCTCCACAATGCCGAAATCAGGATTTGATTAAAAAAAAAGGGGGAGGGGGGAGGGCTACTGTCTTTCCCAAAAAACATGTAGAATATTTGTGGTACAGCAATTTAGAAAAATAGGAACCCCCATCTCTTAATTCTTTTATTGGTAGGGGTCTAAGGATTTACTGAAATCCCAGATTTGGAAGAGCCCCGCTTTCTGGAACACTTTTTCCTAGGAGAGATCCCAATGCGTCCTACATTCCTGGAAATGAAAATGAGCTCTCTCCCATATACGAAATGCATTTACCTAATCCCAAGTTCCAGGTTACTTACCAGGTATGGCTGAGTTGGAGGACACAGGTGAAAAGAAAGATGCGCACAGAAGGCTTCATACGTAACATAATCCTCTGGAGTGACAGAGATAGAAAATTCTAAACACTGGGGAAGCAGAGTGCTAAGATGGGAAGTATTCTCCTCCTGGTAGTGGGATGGAATTCTCCTCGAACCCCAACTTCCTTGGTGTGTAAGCGATCCCAAACAGAGTTAAGGGGAGGTGAAATGGAGCTGCCAAACCTCCAAAGAAGAGATTATCTACTTAATTAAAGTTTTTTTCCCCCCCTCTAAGTCCTTCAGCCAATCAGAACTCAAGTGCCAGAGAAAGATTGAGTCGATCAAAGGAACACTCCAGGATCCTCCCAGACAAATGCAGAAGAAGGGGACGAGGAAAAGGGGACAAAGAGAGGAACACGGAGAAAAAGCACAAAGAAAGAGGGGTGAGGGGAGGAAAGAGACATAGCAAATCCCCTCCACACAATCACTGCGTGGAGTCTCTCTCCTCCCTCTTGTCAGTGCCCTCCCACCCCACCTCAGCCTCCCCCACCACGCACACTCCTGTGCAGACTCAGGCACAGAGAGGAGAGCCTGGTCCCCAAGGGGATTTACTAGGTACTGTGCTTTCCCGGTTGTCCTTTGTAGGGCTTTGAGACATCATTTGCATTTAGGATAGCCCTCTTCAGAGGAAAAGGTACTAGTGCGCCTTAGCCTTCTGATTTGAGGATATGGGAATGGGACCCAACCATCTAGGGCTATTCACCTAAATATTTGACCGGGTAACTTTGTTACCCACTTGGTTTCTTCCTTTCAACTTTACCATCAGACACTTACTTGTTGAACACCTGTTCCATCCTCAGCCCTACCCTGGGCATTGTGGACATTTTTAAAAAGCCTAAAACATGATTTCTGCCCTGAAGACATATATAAGCTAGTGAGGTGATAATGTACGGATGCAATTTAATAAGGTATTACATTACTGCAAACTGACTGTAAAGCATATAGGCTGAAGGTTTTCTGAAGAAGACAGAATTTGAAATTCAAAGAAGGGATGAGATTTCGATAGACAGCCATATTCCTGTCCTCTTAAACGCAGGTGGTGAAGCCAGTGGGGGTCCAAGCTCACACATCTCTGAGTTGCTGTCCCTTCTGAACCAGTAGAGAGGATGGGCCACCTCAGTCCCAGGGCAGGGTCCACAGAGGGCCCCCGGCTTACTTCCACTCAGCGACATTTCCTACTTTAGCATCCACATTGCCTTTCCTCTGGGCTCCCCAGAGACAATGGTCTGTCTCTGTATTTCCCACTTTATCCTTATTTTTCTTGCTTCACAAACTGAACTGGAAAATAAAGAATGATTATATTAATTAATTATCTAGATTATTTAGGACAGATGATTTAGGGGTATTTACCTAAATATTTGACCAGGTAACTTTGTTACTGACTTGGAATCTTCTAGACCAAACTTTATTTTGGATTCTTTTTGTTGTTGTTTTGTTTTAAATATATTTTTATTGATTTCAGAGAGGAAGGGAGAGAAAGACAGAAATATCAATGATGAGAGAGAATCACTGGTTGGCTGCCTCCTGCATGCCCCCCACTGGGGATTGAGCCTGCAGCCCAGGCTCTGACCGGGAATTGCACTGTGATCTTCTGGTTCATAGGTCGAAGCTCAATCACTGAGCCACTCTGACAGGACTATTCTGGATTCTTTATTGCAAGGTAAGCTTGGGCAGTTTTGACTCCCACACAAACAACTTTAGGTCCTTCTCCCTCCCCCCACCCCAACTTTACTGAGGTATAATTGACAACTAAAAATTGTATATACTTAAGGTGTATAACTTGGAAGTTTATCTAATGTTCTTAAGCTTCCATCTTTTCTAAAATCTACCTCTGCAGTTGCCTCTCGGTTTCCTCAAATCAAGGGTTCCACGTAAAAGGAACGACTTTGCATTATTCCTCTAAAAGTGAATTATATTATCGATACATTATTTATTAACTTTTAATATTTCTGTATTTAAAAAGAAGATGTTCTTAGATCTCATGGAGTTTTGTACACAACAACTGATATATTGAAACATTTATAAGCAAGTTTCTTTCTACTCTAGTTTATCTTCTGAAGATGTTCACTTGGTATTATTATGTGAGACCTAAAAATGTGGAAATTAAGGCTCAGGGCAAAATAGCAAGTACTGAATATTCTAAGTAATACTACTCTTATCTCCTCTGCTATTTTGTTTATTCCTTATTTAAAAATTTGATGGTGGTATATTAACTTTTTCCTGAGAAAACAAGGAAATGTTCATTTGTCCGTGTATTTAACTGGCAAAAACGTAATGGCCTCTGATGTGTCAGACCCTGTGTAGGATCCTGAATTACGGGGATAGAGGAGGCTGTCACCACATTTATCGTCTTTTGGAAGACACAAACTAGTAAATGCTCAAAAATGCTAAGAGAGAGAAATGCCAGAAGCACTATGAAAGCAGAAAGGCCATATACCTAAAGGAACAAAAGTCCCTTCTGCTCTCCACACCTCCTACAAGTATCAGTGTGCTTTCTTCTTTACTTCTCTAGTTATAGGACTTCCATTCAGCCAGCTTTCCAGCGGTTCTGGATGTTGGTGGTTCTGTGTTTTAGTTGTAATTTTGATGTAGTTGTGGGAGGCAGTGAGTACAGGCATTTACCTATGCCGCCATCTTGGATCCCCTAAGATGATGTTTCGTGATGTTTCTATCTCTTTCTTCCTCTCCCTTCATCTCTCTAAAAAAAAATTTTTTATATATATAATCAGCTTTACTGATTATAAGAAAAAGGGCAGGCCCTAACTGGTTTGGCTCAGTGGATAGAGTGTCAGCTTGCGGACTCAAGGGTTCCAGGTTTGATTCCGGTCAAGGGCATGTACCTTGGTTGCAGGCACATCCCCAGTAGGGAGTATGCAGGAGGCAGCTGATCGATGTTTCTCTCTCATCTATGTTTCTAACTCTTCCTCTTCCTTCCTCTCTATAAAAAATCAATAAAATATATTTTTTTTAAAAGAAAAGAAAAAGGGCAGGTTTAAATAATGAGATACCACGTTTATTCATTAAATGGGCAAAGGTGTAAAATAATGAGATCCAATATTAATAAATGTGTTGTTTTGTCAAATGGTCATTTTATATATGCTGGTAGGAATGCAAAATAACTCAACCTTTGGGGAGCAATTTGATAACATGAATTTAAAACTTTAATCATATTAATAATATATTTTGACCCAATAACTCCACCTTTAGGAATTTATCCTAAGGAATTAATCAGATAATGTTTATTAGAATGTATATACAAGGATATTCATTAAATTGGTATAAATAATAGCATTAGTAGAACACTTGGACTTTTATGGACTATCTTACCTCCAATGGGAACCTTCCAGCAGATTTTGACCCAAAGAGCAGCATTCCATCCTACTGAGCCCTAGGAATTTGGATGAGAGGCATGAGAGAGAAAATAGTATCTCTGACAAGTTAAGCTTCTTAGTGTATACTGAATATTCCTCCCCCCCAAACAAACAAACAAACAAACAAAAAACAACAGAGATAGCATGGGATAGCACAATGCTTTCTAAAATAAATGATTTAGAGAACCTAGAAGTTCTATAAAGTGGGTGGAAGGGGCAAAAGTCTTTGTACAACCACAAAGGACTACATCACTTTAAAAAAATGATACGTGGCTGTTTAATGTTGATGAATGTCTTGTGGCTATGATCCTCTTTCATGGTAATTCTCTACTCAGAATTCTCTCTTTGTAGAGAAAGTCTAGACAAGAAGTAAATCGTATCCCAGGGGTTTGGTTTAACCCTCTCCATTTTACTTTACTCTTTCATTTCCATTGGTTTTCCAAGGATGCTTAAGAGTGGAAGAAATGTGCCAAGGCTGAGAAAGAGAAATTGATATAGAAAACTAATGTGTACTCGTTTCCCTAGGCTGCTATAACAAAGTACCATAAACTGGGAGGCTTACAACAGAAATGTATTCTCTCACAGTTCAGGAAACAGAAGTCCAAAATGAAGGTGTCAGCTGGATTGGTTTCTTGTTGGGGGTTCATAGGGAGAATCTGTTCCAAGCCTTTTGGTTTGTTTCTGGGGATATCAGAAATCCCTGGCCTTCCTTAACTTGTAGACACATCACTCCTGTCTCTGCTCTGTGCTCCATGGTGCACTCCCTCTGTGTGTGTGTGTCTTCTCTTCTTTTAACGACGCCAATCACATTGGGTTAAGAGCCCACCCTACTCCAGTATGTCTTCATCTTAACTAGTTACATTTGCAGTAACCCTATTTCCAAATAAGGTCGCATTTTAAGGTACAGGGGGTTAGGATTTTAACATACGTATCTTTTTGGAGTCACAATAGAACCGATAACGCATGGTATATATAGCTTTAAACACGTAACTCCAACAAATCTTGTACTCTTATTCAGATGTTGTATAATCTCAGATTTTAACACTTTTTAAAATATTTTAAAACATCAATGATGAGGGAAAGTCATTGATCTGCTACCTCTTTTATGCCCCACACTGGGGATTGAGCCCACAACCCAGGCATATAGCCTGACCAAGGAATTGAACCATAGGTCAACACTCAACCACTAAGCAACACTGGCCGGGCAGATTTTAACACTTTAAAAAATATATATATATCTTATTAATTTTTCACAGAGAGTAAGAGAGAGGGATAGAGAGTCAGAAACATTGATGAGAGAGAATCATCGATCAGATGCCTCTTATACACCCCCCTACTAGGGATGTGCCCGCCACCAAGGTCCCGCCACCAAGGTACATGCCCTCAACCGGAATCGAACCCGGGACCTTTCAGTCCGCAGGACAACGCTCTATCCACTGAGCCAAACCAGTCCCGGCAGATTTTAACACTTTTGATCCTTTCATTTCAGTGATCAAATCCCACACATCAGCTGTTGAAAAAAGTTATATGATTCTAGAGCCTACATTTTTATACTGGATGCTTTCACATTGAGCCATTTGATTTATTTTGTAGGTGGAATCATTGAAGGTCTTTTTTGAACAAAGGAATAACATGATCAAACACTTTTACCAAAAAATATTAATTTGGTAAGGAATGAATCAAAGGGGAGAGATTCTGGAGATAAGAAAACTACTTATAAAATTCAACATTACCAGGCGAGAAATAATATGGATTTAGAGTAGGGTAGAGTAAAGGAAGTGGAATAGAAGGGGCTGATGAGATGAGAAACAATT